CGCTTCCTCTAACAGCTCCCTGAACTCCCCTTGAAACTCTGTGCCTTGATCGGTGAGCACCTCTGCACACGCCCCAAATCTGCATATTACTTGCTCCTTGAATGCTGCTGCCACATGTCTTGAGCTCTTGCTGGGGATAGCCCTCACCTCCAGCCACTTGCTCACGTGCTCCACCATGAGCACTATGTACCGTTTCCCCCCCCGGCTCAGCGGCAGTTCCCCCGCCAGGTCCAAGGACCATCTGAAGCCTAACCCACGGATGGGCAGGGACTGCAGCTCAGCCTTGGCTTGGGTCAGGTTTGCTCAGCTCCTTTGGCAGGCCTCACATCCCTCCACCCATTTCTGCACCTGCCTGCGCATTCCCTCCCACCACCAGCCCGTCTTCAACAACTGCACTGTCCTCTCATGCCCGAAGTGCCCCAGCCTTGAGTGCACCTCCTTTATCACTGCTTCCCTGTCACCTGGGGCCGGCACCAGCTTCCACCCACCCTCGGTCTGTATCTGCAACTGCTGCTGGTACCACCTGTAGTGGTGCCCCCTTGCTCTCACCCTCTCGCTCATCTCCTCGTCTGCCCCTGTCTCTCCCTTCACCCATCTCACAGCCTGCTCATCCTCCCAGATATCAGCCGGCCCCTTGCTTCTCCTGGCCCCGCTCAGCTCCACCTGTCTGGCCAGCAGCGCAAGGGTCACTGCTGGCTCTAGCGGTGGGGGGTTACGGGAGAGGCCGTCCACATGCTGCAAGGTTTTTCCTGGCCTGTGCTTGATTTTGAACTCATACTCCTGCAGCTTCATTGCCCATCGTGCATTCCTGCCTGTTAACCCTGGTGTCGTCATCAGCCATGTCAGTGGCTGGTGGTCCGTCACCAGGGTGAACTCCCGCCCCTGCAAGTAGACCCTGAAGTGCCCCACAGCCCATACTGCCGCTAGTCCCTCCCCTGTGTACGAGCTGTACTGTGCCTCCGCCGAGTTGCAGCTCCTACTCGCGTAGGCCACCACCTTCTCATCCCCTTCCACCTCCTGGCAGAGTATCCCGCCCATCCCTTGGCTGCTCCAGTCGGTGTAGAGGGTGAAGGGTTGGTCCGCTGCTGGCAGCTGCAAGACGGTTGCCGTTTTCACCGCCGCCATCAGGTCCTGCAATGCCCCCTTCTGCGCTTCCCCCCACTCCCATGTCCTGTCCTCCCTTAACAGTCCGTTCAACACCGCTGCCCGCCTGCTGAAGTTGGGCACAAATCGCCGGTAGTAACTCAGAAACCCCAACACCGCTCTCAGCCCTGTCTTGTCCTTTGGTTCTCGCGGCCTATCCAGCACCTCCACCTTTGCTTGCTGGATCCCGATCTGCCCCCTTTCACCTCGTAGCCCAGATACTGAACGGTCTGCTCACCCCACCTACACTTCTTCGGGTGACACGTGCGTCCCGCTGCTTCTATTGCTGCCAGTGTCTTCTCCACATCTTGCAGGTGCTGCTGTTCGGAGGTGCTGAAGATCACCACGTCATCTATGTAGCACGCTGCACATTCTACGTCCCTCAGCACTGCATCCATGACTCTCTGAAACAATGCTGATGCGTTCCTCAGCCCGAATGGCATGTAAAGCCACTCGTACAGCCCATCCGGCCCGTGAAATGCCGTCTTCCTAACGTCCTCCTCCCTGATTTTTATCTGATTGAACCCCTGCCGCAGGTCCAGTGTCGTGAAGAACACCCCCTCTGCTAACTTGTCAAATATCTCCTCCGCCATCGGCATTGGGTACCTGTCCGCCACGGTAATCTTGTTGAGCGCTCGGTAATCTCCGCACATCCTCCTGCTCAGGATCTCTCCTGTTAAGTCCTTCCTCGCTGCCACCACTGTTGGTGTGGCGTATTCTGATTCTGAGCGCCGGATCAGTCCGGCCGCCAACAGCTCCTTAATCTTCTCCTTGCATATCTCTTCATCTCCGTGCGGCATCTTCCTACGCCGTTGGAACACCGGCTCCGTGCTGCTCAGTTTCAGCTCCATCTCCTTCATTTTGCACCTTCCCAGTTCTTGCAGTGTGAAGGCAAAGCACTTCCTGTGCTTGGCCAGCAGTCCCCGCATAGCTTCTCTTCCCTCTTCACTCATCGCTTCCCCCACTGTCCACTTCTCTCCCTCCTCCTCCTGGCAGGTCCATGCTCCTTGTGGGGCTGCTGCTGCCGCCACCTTATCTGCCTCTTGCCCCCCACCCAAGACCATCTCTCGCCACATCCTCTGCACCAGCCACCTCATCATGTAGCCATCCATGGCATTCCCCATTGCCCTCCTCCTGTCTTCCTCGCTCACCCCTGGTGCTGCCGTCACGTTTTCTCCATATCCCATAGCCAGCTCCCTCTCTAATGCCGTCGGTTCCTCCCACCGTCCCGCTTGTGGTCATATATCAGCCCGGGTCCGGGCTCCCCCTTTTCCCACCTGTAGCCTGCTGCCTCTGCAAAAGCAACCAAGGTGGGCAGAGCCCTCCTGTCCTGCCCCACCTGGTTGCACGGGTAGTGCCTGCTGTAACTTCTTTGACAAACTGGCGCGGGAGTCCGTCCCGGCTCCAGGATGTCCACCACCCTCCTCCCTGTAGCCCTCCTCATCCCCTCTGCTTCCTCCTGCAGATCCAGCACAGGAACCACGTTTTGCCAGTACATCCTGAGGCGGTGAGCGTACAACCCTGCCCTGGCTGCATCACAGCTCATCCCTTTTCCCACGTGCCGGCCAATCCTCTCCCTCACCAGCCGAATCGGCTCTCTACAATCCCCTTCTAGATCCAGGTTCTCCAGCAAGTAGGCCACTCTGCCCTGCCTCTCCTGCAGCCACTCCAGGATATCGAACAGGTTGTCCATCAGCTTCGTCCTCGGGTCCTCCCCTCCCTTCCCTTTTCCCGCCCATGACACCCCTTGACACTCCCATCCTGCCACCAGCAGGTCCACCTGCCCCCAGCTGGCCACCTGCTCCTCTGTGATCTGACTCACATCGTGCACCGTACTGCTCATGGCTTCCTGAATTACTTTCTCACTCAGGAGATCCGGGAACTCAGCTCTCAGCTTCCGCGCGTGATGCTCAGCCATCCTTCTCACCTGTGGTGCCAGTTCGACATAGACCCACTGCTGCACAGCAATCCCACTCCTCACTGCTGCCGCCAGCCCTGCCCCGATTCCTCCGAACAACTCTACTAGCCGGATGGGCTACTGCCAATCGCTATACTGCCCCGGCTTGTCCATTAGTTTCATCCTGGGCCCCTCCCTGGTCTCTGCTGCTCCTCTCTGCCCCCTTTGTGCCCCTCCTGCTCCGACCTGATAGGCCCGCTTCGGCTCCACCCTTACAAACTGCACTGGCAGCTGCCCCAATGGTCCCTCCTTCTTCCAGTATCTCGTTCGGAACTCCACCTTCTCCATCCAGGTACATATGCTCATGCCTACAGCGAACACCAATTCCGTTCCCATCAGCAGATCAAAGTCCTCGGACTCCGAGATTCCGCACTTCATCCTGATCCTTGTTTCATGCTCCCCTCCTGGCAGCAGTGTCAACTCTATGGGGGTCCGGGTGCACGGCATCCACTTTGGTTCCCCTCCCTCTGCTGTCATGACTAACATCCCCTTCGCCACGTGCCTCTCAGGGGCCATCAGCCCCAACCGTTCGGCCATCCCCTTACCCAGCATCACGCTCTGTGCTCCTGTGTCAATGATCGCCGTCTTTACCTTCACCCCCCCCACTTCCACCGCTCCTGCTTCCACGAGCAGCACCGAGGTCTGGCACGCGAGTCTTTCCTGCGGGTGGCGGGCTGGGGTCTTCTCTCCTCGTGGCGCGTCTGGCCTGGACCCCTGCTCACGTGGCTTCCGGCTATGCTCCTGCCTGCCATCCTCCCCCCCGCTACGCAGCCCCATCTGTTCCCTGCCTCTCCAGGCCATGAGGGCACACTGCACGTCCGGCTCCACCCCTTCTCCCTCCTCGTCCCTGGCGTACATCCCCGCCTCCGCTCCCCACCCTGACCCCATGGCCTGCAGTTGAGACTGCAGCCTGCTGATCTGCCGCTGCAGCTCCTCTGGTTTCCTCCTTGTCCCTCCCTCCCACTGGTAACACTCCTTGGCCTCGTGCCCCTTCTTCCCGCAGATTTCACACTTCGCCGCATCCGGACATTCTTGTTTCCGGTGCCCAGGCTTCCCACATCCATCACAGTTTTTGCACTCTCTGCGGAGGTGCCCCATCTGTCCACACCGGTAGCAGGTGCGCGCGTCGGCTCTCTCTTCCCCGTGTGGGTCCACCCTCCCTCGCTCCTCTGGTATCATAGCCGCCGCCCATGTCGGTCTGCGGCTCTTCTCTGTCGGCCTCGGCAGGTAGACCTCATACCTCCTTTGTGCCAGCTCCACCCTTTCCGCCAGGTCAAACACCTCCTCTAGTGCCGCATCCGCCCCTAACTCGTACACCTTCATCCTCAGTCCTCCCCCCAGTGTTTCGTCCAGGCCTCCAAGAAACTTACTGATGAGGAGGCTGCTGTCCGAACATTTCACATCCTCCGCCAAGTTTATCAGTCGGTTGTAGTAGGTCAGTAGGGATTCTGTTCGTCCCCTCCTGAACTCCTGAAACTCCCTTACGCGCTCCGCCGTGTGTCCCGGAATTGACGCTGAAGCCGCTCCAGAAATGCCTCGGTGGGATCCTCCCCGTACCTCCCTGCCCTCCACAGCAGCTCGTCCATCCTCATGCGGTACAGGGTCTCCGCCTCTCCCTCCAGAGTGTTGGGCAGGCTCAAGAAGAAGTCTACTGGGTCCATGCCTTGCCTGTCACAGCGGTATCTCACGTTCCCCACCTGCATCAAGTAATTCTTGAGGGCTGGCCCCACCCTTTGGTCCCCCGAGAACCTCGCCGGCACTTCCACCCGCGTCGCGCTGGCTGTACTTCCCCACCCTTCTCCCCGCGATTCCCTGGCCCCTCCCAGCCGCTCTTCCCCGATCCTTCTCTCCTTGGCCCTCTCCATGCCTTCCCTGGCCTCTCGGGCCCGCTCAGCGCCATATGCTAAGCTCCCCCCTCCAGCTCTGCTCTCCCGCCGATTCCAGCCCGAGTCACCGTGCCTTTCTCTCGGGCCCCTCTCCTCCCACGCACGCCCTCGCGTTCGTGCCGGCGAGACTCGTGTCTCTCTCCATCTCGCCGTGCTCGTCTCTCGCTGCCGCTGCTTCTCTGGCGACGGTTCCCATGCTTCTCCCCTTCCTTGCTGCCGACGATCTCCGGGCGAGCGCCTGTCTCCGCCGCCTTCTCTTCCCCGCTGCTGCCGGGCGAGAGGCGAGCGGAACCCGCTGCTCACCCTCCTTTCCCATTGCGCTTGCGGGCCTGACGTCCGTGCCTCCCCGCCGCGCCCTTCTTGCCGCTGGCCGCGCCTCTCTGATGAGCTGGGCCCCTCCTCGCGTCCTTCTTCCCGCCGCCAGTGGTGGCTGGCTGCGCGTGGCTCGCCCTCCCATCCTCCCTTATGCATCAGCTGCCTGTCCGGCGATCGTTCGCCGTCTTCGCCCCGGCCCCCTTGAGCCTGGCGCCAGTCGAAGTGCGCGGGGGTCAACAGAAGGCCGCTCCCGGCGCCGCGATCCTTCCCCTGACGCGCGCGGTCCCTCTTCCTCCCTTTTGCCGCGTTCTCCTTGCGTCCCCACAGCGCCGGCATGCACGCCCCAGTCCCGCCGCTCCTGCTGACGTGACCTCTCCGCGTAATGCTCCTCCTGGCGGCTTGCGTCGCGGTCGCGTGATTCCGACCGTCCCGACCGCGATCCTTCTGCCCCTGCCTGGCTTGCACCCCCGGCAACGTCCGCCTCTTCCGGCTCGGCGTTTCCGATCCCAGCCGCGGGTTCCTCGCCGTCATCTTCTCCGTCGGCGTCTTCGACCGCCCGTTCCAGGTTCGCTGCGTCCTCCTCTGCCTCTTCCTCTTCTGCGGCCTCCCCTAGACGCATGCTTGTGTCCGGACGCATGCTTGTGTCCGGTCGCATGCTTGTGTCCGGACGCATTCTTGTGTCCGGACGCATGCTTGTGTCCGGACGCATGCTTGTGTCCGGACGCATGCTTGTGTCCGGACGCATGCTTGTGTCCGGACGCATGCTTGTGTCCGGACGCATGCTTGTGTCCGGACGCATGCTTGTGTCCGGACGCATGCTTGTGTCCTGACGCATGCTTGTGACTGAACGCATGCTTGAGTCCGGTCGCATGCTCGTGTCCGGACGCATGCTCGTGTCCGGACGCATGCTTGTGTCCGGATGCATGCTGAGGTCCGGACGCATGCTTGAGTCCGGTCGCATGCTTGTGTCCGGACGCATGCTTGTGTCCGGACGCATGCTTGTGTCCGGACGCATGCTTGTGTCCGGACGCATGCTTGTGTCCGGACGCATGCTTGTGTCCCGTCGCATGCTTGAGTCCGGTGGCATGCTCGTGTCCGGACGCATGCTCGTGTCCGGACGCATGCTTGTGTCCGGACGCATGCTTGTGTCCGGACGCATGCTTGTGTCCGGTCGCATGCTTGTGTCCCGTCGCATGCTTGAGTCCGGTCGCATGCTCGTGTCCGGACGCATGCTTGTGTCCGGACGCATGCTTGTGTCCGGACGCATGCTTGTGTCCGGACGCATGCTTGTGTCCGGACGCATGCTTGTGTCCGGACGCATGCTTGAGTCCGGTCGCATGCTTGTGTCCGGACGCATGCTTGTGTCTGGACGCATGCTTGTGTCCGGACGCATGCTTGTGTCCGGACGCATGCTTGAGTCCGGTCGCATGCTTGTGTCCGGACGCATGCTTGTGTCCGGACTCATGCTTGTGTCCGGACGCATGCTTGAGTCTGGTTGCATGCTTGTGTCCGGACGCATGCTTGTGTCCGTTCGCATGCTTGTGTCCGGACGCATGCTTGTGTCCGGTCGCATGCTTGTGTCCGACCGCATGCTTGAGTCCGGTCGCATGCTTGTGTCCGGACGCATGCTTGTGTCCGGACGCATGCTTGTGTCCTGACGCGTGCTTGTGTCTGGACGCATGCTTGTGTCCGGACGCATGCTTGTGTCCGGACGCATGCTTGTGTCCGGACGCATGCTTGTGTCCGGTCGCATGCTTGTGTCCGGACGCATGCTTCTGTCCGGACGCATGCTTCTGTCCGGACGCATGCTTGTGTCCGGTCGCATGCTTGTGTCCGGACGCATGCTTGTGTCCGGACGCATGCTTGTGTTCGGACGCATGCTTGTGTCCGGACGCATGCTTGTGTCCGGACGCATGCTTGTGTCCGGACGCATGCTTGTGTCTGAACACATGCTTGAGTCCGGTCGCATGCTTGTGTCTGGTCGCATGCTTGTGTCCGGACGCATGCTTGAGTCCGGTCGCATGCTTGTGTCCGGACGCATGCTTGTGTTCGGACGCATGCTTGTGTCCGGACGCATGCTTGTGTCTGGACGCATGCTTGTGTTCGGACGCATGCTTGTGTTCGGACGCATGCTTGTGTCCGGACGCATGCTTGTGTCCGGACGCATGCTTGTGTCCGGACGCATGCTTGTGTCCGGTCGCATGCTTGTGTCCGGACGCATGCTTGTGTCCGGACGCATGCTTGTGTCTGAACGCATGCTTGAGTCCGGTCGCATGCTCGTGTCCGGACGCATGCTCGTGTCCGGACGCATGCTTGTGTCCGGATGCATGCTTGTGTCCGGACGCATGCTTGAGTCCAGTCGCATGCTTGTGTCCGGACGCTTGCTTGTGTCTGGACGCATGCTTGAGTCCGGTCGCATGCTTGTATCCGGACGCATGCTTGTGTCCGGACGCATGCTTGTGTCCGGACGCATGCTTGTGTCCGGACGCATGCTTGTGTCCGGACGCATGCTTGTGTCCGGACGCATGCTTGAGTCCCGTTGCCTGCTTGTGTCCGGACGCATGCTTGTGTCCGGACGCATGCTTGAGTCCGGTCGCATGCTTGTATCCGGACGCATGCTTGTGTCCGGACGCATGCTTGTGTCCGGACGCATGCTTGTGTCCGGACGCATGCTTGTGTCCGGTCGCATGCTTGTGTCCGGACGCATGCTTGTGTCCGGTCGCATGCTTGTGTCCGACCGCATGCTTGAGTCCGGTCGCATGCTTGTGTCCGGACGCATGCTTGTGTCCGGACGCATGCTTGTGTCCGGTCGCATGCTTGTGTCCGGACGCATGCTTGAGTCCGGTCGCATGCTTGTGTCCGGACGCATGCTTGTGTCCGGACGCATGCTTGTGTCCGGACGCATGCTTGTGTCCGGACGCATGCTTCTGTCCGGACGCATGCTTGTGTCCGGTCGCATGCTTGTGTCCGGACGCATGCTTGTGTCCCGTCGCATGCTTGTGTCCGACCGCATGCTTGTGTCCGGACGCATGCTTGTGTCCGGACGCATGCTTGTGTCCGGACGCATGCTTGTGTCCGGTCGCATGCTTGTGTCCGGACGCATGCTCGTGTCCGGACGCATGCTTGTGTCCGGATGCATGCTTGTGTCCGGACGCATGCTTGAGTCCGGTCGCATGCTTGTGTGCGGACGCATGCTTGTGTCCGGACGCATGCTTGTGTCCGGACGCATGCTTGTGTCCGGACGCATGCTTGAGTCGGGTCGCATGCTTGTGTCCGGACGCATGCTTGTGTCTGGACGCATGCTTGTGTCCGGACGCATGCTTGTGTCCGGTCGCATGCTTGTGTCCGGACGCATGCTTGTGTCCGGACGCATGCTTGTGTCCGGACGCATGCTTGTGTCTCAACGCATGCTTGAGTCCGGTCGCATGCTCGTGTCCGGACGCATGCTCGTGTCCGGACGCATGCTTGTGTCCGGATGCATGCTTGTGTCCGGACGCATGCTTGAGTCCAGTCGCATGCTTGTGTCCGGACGCTTGCTTGTGTCTGGACGCATGCTTGAGTCCGGTCGCATGCTTGTATCCGGACGCATGCTTGTGTCCGGACGCATGCTTGTGTCCGGACGCATGCTTGTGTCCGGACGCATGCTTGTGTCCGGACGCATGCTTGTGTCCGGACGCATGCTTGAGTCCGGACGCATGCTTGTGTCCGGACGCATGCTTGTGTCCGGACGCATGCTTGTGTCCGGACGCATGCTTGAGTCCCGTTGCCTGCTTGTGTCCGGACGCATGCTTGTGTCCGGACGCATGCTTGAGTCCGGTCGCATGCTTGTATCCGGACGCATGCTTGTGTCCGGACGCATGCTTGTGTCCAGACGCATGCTTGTGTCCGGACGCATGCTTGTGTCCGGTCGCATGCTTGTGTCCGGACGCATGCTTGTGTCCGGTCGCATGCTTGTGTCCGACCGCATGCTTGAGTCCGGTCGCATGCTTGTGTCCGGACGCATGCTTGTGTCCGGACGCATGCTTGTGTCCGGTCGCATGCTTTTGTCCGGACGCATGCTTGAGTCCGGTCGCATGCTTGTGTCCGGACGCATGCTTGTGTCCGGACGCATGCTTGTGTCCGGACGCATGCTTGTGTCCGGACGCATGCTTGTGTCCGGACGCATGCTTGTGTCCGGTCGCATGCTTGTGTCCGGACGCATGCTTGTGTCCGGTCGCATGCTTGTGTCCGACCGCATGCTTGAGTCCGGTCGCATGCTTGTGTCCGGACGCATGCTTGTGTCCGGACGCATGCTTGTGTCCGGTCGCATGCTTGTGTCCGGACGCATGCTTGAGTCCGGTCGCATGCTTGTGTCCGGACGCATGCTTGTGTCCGGACGCATGCTTGTGTCCGGACGCATGCTTGTGTCCGGACGCATGCTTGTGTCCGGTCGCATGCTTGTGTCTAAACGCATGCTTGAGTCCGGTCGCATGCTCGTGTCCGGACGCATGCTCGTGTCCGGACGCATGCTTGTGTCTGGATGCATGCTTGTGTCCGGACGCATGCTTGAGTCCGGTCGCATGCTTGTGTCCGACGCATGCTTGTGTCCGGAAGCATGCTTGTGTCCGGTCTCATGCTTGTGTCCGGACGCATGCTTGTGTCCGGACGCATGCTTGTGTCCGGACGCATGCTTGTGTCCGGACGCATGCTTGTGTCCGGACGCATGCTTGTGTTCGGACGCATGCTTGTGTCCGGACGCATGCTTGTGTCCGGTCGCATGCTTGTGTCCGGACGCATGCTTGAGTCCGGTCGCATGCTTGTGTCCGGACGCATGCTTGAGTCCGGACGCATGCTTGTGTCCGGACGCATGCTTGAGTCCGGTCGCATGCTTGTGTCCGGACGCATGCTTGTGTCCGGACGCATGCTTGAGTCCGGTCGCATGCTTGTGTCCGGACGCATGCTTGTGTCCGGTCGCATGCTTGTGTCCGGACGCATGCTTGTGTCCGGACGCATGCTAGTGTCCGGACGCTTGCTTGTGTCCGGACGCATGCTTGAGTCCGGTCGCATGCTTGTGTCCGGACGCATGCTTGTGTCCGGTCGCATGCTTGTGTCCGGACGCATGCTTGTGTCCGGTCGCATGCTTGTGTCCGACCGCATGCTTGAGTCCGGTCGCATGCTTGTGTCCGGACGCATGCTTGTGTCCGGACGCATGCTTGTGTCCAGACGCATGCTTGTGTCCGGACGCATGCTTGTGTCCGGACGCATGCTTGTGTCCGGTCGCATGCTCGTGCCCGGTCGCATGCTCGTGCCCAGACGCATGCTCGTGTCCGGAGGCATGCTTGTGTCCGGACGCATGCTTGTGTCTGGACGCATGCTTGTGTCCGGTCGCATGCTTGTGTCCGGACGCATGCTTGTGTCCGGACGCATGCTTGTGTCCGGACGCATGCTTGTGTCCGGACGCATGCTTGTGTCCGGACGCATGCTTGTGTTCGGAGGCATGCTTGAGTCCGGTCGCATGCTTGTGTCCGGACGCATGCTTGTGTTCGGGAGGCATGCTTGAGTCCGGACGCATGCTAGTGTCCGGACGCTTGCTTGTGTCCGGACGCATGCTTGAGTCCGGTCGCATGCTTGTGT